CTACGATGACGGGGTCTACATGAAGTCCGGTGCTTCATTCGACAGGTTAAAACGAGTTATGAAAACGCCGCGCCCATCGCCGCGCGTGGCGGTGCGGCGAATTACGATCCTCTTTACCGTCTCCCCCTTTTCCATACCGAATTTTCCCAGCAGCCCAGTGGTTGCTGATGCTTGACCTTCTTACTCACACGACCTCGTCCACTATCAGTCTGCAAGAAAAACTTCCGGGACAAAATGATTTGGAAGTGTTCAGCGATGATTGATCGAAGTTCCGGTACAAGTTGGAGTCACTCAAGGCCACTCTGACTCGGTTCTTTACACCACTCTTTTTCGAACATCACACAACTTGTAGCCGGAAATGGTGTCCATACCATAAATGGCGCTATCACTGGCACAACCTGCCCAGAATGCCCTGAATCTGCTTGTCAGTTAAAAGGTAATATTTCGAAGGCATATCGCACGACAACTTGGCACTTGCTCACGAACAGTAGCAGAGGTGCTATGCAGTGAGGAAAATGTCGAAAAAGCGGAGAACAACGGCGAAGAACCTGCGGAACAAACTTTACTCTGCGCGGCATTGGACGAGCATATTTGGACGAGCTGTCCGTTGACATCGGCCAACAAACACTTTGATAGCGGCTGCATGTATGTATCCATAGATCCGTGTGGCAACGCTTCATATCAATTGTACTTCATAACTGAAGCGACAAGAGTACCAGCGTCGATGTGACTGTACGGTCCATTTGTGGGCGGGCGGTTGCGATGGGCGTCTAGATGGACACGTTGGCTACGCCTCTTGCGGTGCCTTTGTTTGGAAAAGGCTCCACGCAGTGCCTGCGAGGCGGCACAATATTCTGTCGCGCTTGACATATAGACCCTGTACGCCTTGTCGATTTATCGCACCACTTCCCTTCGAGGTAGAGGAAAGAGGTAAACAATAAAAAATGAATTTAGATTTGTTTTTTTATTGTTTACTTATCACTAAAAATAAAAGAAAATGAAGAGAAGGAGATACGCTAAAATATCCAATGGGATACCTCTGCTGCTTCTTTCAGAACATCCTCCCGCAGCACATTTCCACCATCCTTAGCCAGTACTAGTACGAACACAGATATACTACTGCCACCTTTTGCGAAGAATTCCCCGGCGACCTGAATAACAAAAATCCCTTTCACTTGTTTTTCACCTTGAGACTTATTTTCCCCATCGAAACGACTTGAAAACACTTCAAAAATAGACGTACATCGAGTTCGTCACGGGCCCGTGCTCCATAGGGAGTGTAACCGGTGATGTCATTCTCGTTTCTGTAAAGGGTAAACGTCATTGAATCTCCTCTTACCTTTCAAAACATGTGTGACAGTAGTAAGTAGATGCAGAGATCATCATTTGGCATTAAAAACAGAAAACTCCCCTGTACTCTAAAGTAAATTCAATTTGATTTGACACCTTCCTCCACAAAATTTTCATTTGGTCCGAATCATCGTGGGGAAAACTTCCTCTACTTCCACTGGGGTGGTTGAGTTTGGCTCTCACCCAGACGCGCGCGGTCGTGACGCCGCTACACAACACCCGCCAGATTGGAGAAAAATGCAATCTCAGAGGGGAAGGTATTTGAAGGTCACCGCGTACAAAACTGGGAGCACTGCAATAGAGACAAAAACCCTCTGGAAAAGCCTAAGGGGTAAAAAAACTCCTGAGTGGGTGACCACTTCAGAAGATACTAATATCATGCTTACAATGTATCCCAGCTTTGCGTGAAGAGTCCTGTAATGTCCCCACTCCTCATCTGCAGGACCACCAATGCTATCAAATGTTGCGGCGGAAAAGGATTTCTTGGCCCGGGTAGGCACACCTTTATCACCGAGATACAGGTACGCCGCAATTCTAGCCGCTGCGCGACCGCACGCGCGATCAAAGAACTGTCCATTTGGCTACGCAGTTTTACTTCGCAACACGTACTGAGTTTTCTTACCGTTGTTATCACTGAAGTCAGTTGGGGCGTGCCTAGGTGAAACTATGGCCCGACACAGGCGCCGGTTCCTTTATTGGTCGCTGCGGGCTTTGGGCCCCATCGAATGCCGTGCCCTGGTTCAAATGAGTGGCGGAAAGGAGCTCGCGCCGCGCAAAAACTCACGTTCCGCTGACACAACCCGATTAAATTCCGTGACAACGGCTGTACTATCATCACAGTTCAGAGAGTAATGACAAATGATTTCGACAGAACATCTTCCTAATACAAATTGGCTTACGTACGGTGTGGTGACGATCTTGTAGGTACCGATGAGCGTTAAAATCGTGCAAATGACGATCGTGATGATGGCATGGTTCGCCACAAACAGTGCCCATC